TTTTATCATTTATACGCTGTTCAGTTCCTAAAGACTGTAAGCAATTTATAAATAACACAAAATAGAAAACAAAACAAAAATAGAATATATATATATATATTTTCCTTCCTATGATAATGGACAGGAAGGGGTGTGTGAGGTGTGTCCGTGTGTTTGTGTATCCAAAACTGTGATCAAATACAAACCTTCCTGTCCATTATCACAGGAAGGAAAAAAATAGTCATGGCAACAGTAGTCAGTTACTGCAGAGATGGAATTATGCAATCTGTATTTTTACAAAACAAGATTTTGTAAAATTCAACATTCATGATTTTAATTTACTGTGTTAAGTATTATGTTAGAATGAGGTCTGTTTCATAGCCTCTCAAATATTGGGTGTGCTGTACTGCCAGAGCCCTGATTTGAATGTAAGTTACTTTTCCTGAGTATTTAAAGGTCACAGGTTTTTAGCAGTTGGTTTTGCCTTCATTGTACGTGCAGATACTGTTTAGACTCTTTCGTTTGTTCTTCGTTGCTTTGTCAGATGTCAAGTTTACTAAAATGCAGTAGGTAGTAATCATATTCATCTGCACTTTCTTTAGACTGTTTTTGTTTTTTTGTAATACATGGGTATTTTAATCGGCTTACTTTCCTTAAAGTTCCTTTTTGTTTTCCAGAATAATGCCTCAAAGTTACTCTTGGCTATAATGGAAAGTAGGCATGACAGTGAGAATGCAGAAAGGATCCTTTATAACATGAGACCAAAAGAACTGGTATGTTTCCAAGAATTTGCTTCCATTAATTTGAACAGCATGAAATTATCTTGCTGTCAGATGTGTGATTAAGAGCACACTATTTTGGATCTTATAAACTGAGGCCTCTCCTTAACTGAGCCCTATTATGCTTAGCAGTAAATTTAAAGAGCTTTGTGCTATATACACAGGTATATTTTAAGTTGGCTTAACTTGAGAGCTTAAGAAGCGTTATTTTCCATTGCAGTCATAGTATCATTTTAACTCTGATCCTCTGTACTGGCAATATAGTTCTATCATATCTTGTACGGTGGGGTTACAGGCAAAGTGAGGTCGAATAGAAAAGAGAAAATTTGTTTTATAAGGTAAAATCATATTAAAGTATATAGTAATATATCTTGGCAACATGGTAGCATTTCTATCCAAGATTCATTCTCGCAGAGAGATGGCAAGGACAGTTTATTGATTTTTGCTACCAGCTTTTTGTGATTTTGAAAGATTTGCTCCAAGGGATAGGATGACTTTCATTCCTACCATGGGAGCCAATTCAAGGAATGAAAAAAGCAGTTCCTCTCCTTCTCTTCTGTTAGTCAGACTTCCCAGTGGATCAAAATGGAACAAAAGCATTCATGGGCAGAAGGATTTTTCTTTGTATGTTTGGTGTAAAAGACTGAGTGAAAGAACTTGAAAGAAGACTTGCTGAAATAATCAGCTGTTCTGAGAAGTCACATGCCCTGTTTGTTTTCCTCTAAAGGTAGTCCCTTGACTCACAACCATTCATTTAACAACCGTTTGAAGTTCAACAGCACTGAAAAAAATGACTTCTGACCAATGCTTGCATAGCAGCCCAAGGTCACATGATCAAAATTTGGACACTTGGCAACCAACACGTATTTCAATGGTTGCAGCATCCCAGGGACAGGTGATCTTCCCAATCAGCTTTAGACCAAGTCAGTGGAGGAAGCCAGGTTCACTTAATGACCTTGTGATTCACTTAACAACTGTAGTGATTCTTTTAACATCGGCAATGGAAATTGTGGTCCAGTTATGGTTATAAGTCAAGGATTACCTGAGGTTAAGAATAATATGTCCAACAACACCTACCATATTTTTCAGAGTATAAGATGCACCTTTTCCCCTCAAAAAAGAGGGTGAAAATCTAGGTGTATCTTATATACTGAATAAAAGCATTTTTGACCTCCCGAAACCTCGCTCCCTTTGCAAAAATGGCCATGCATAGCCTTTAGGAGGTTTCCAGAGTTCTCCTGGGGGCTGGGGAGGGCAAAAATGACCAAAAATGTGATAAAAAACAGACCCATTTTTGTGAAAAATGGGCTGTTTTGGGGAGGTCTGCAGAGTGCAAAAAATTTGCCTCTTCAAAATCTTGGTGCATCTTATACTCCAGTGCATCTGATACTCTGAAAAATATGGTAAGTTCCGTGTAGAAGCATGGGAAATTATGACACTGTATCCCTTCACTTATGAAAATAGTTCATAATAGTTCAAATAGTTAAAAATTAAAAAGAAAACTGCTGAAATTTTATCACTCTAGTTTTTTTATTCTAAAATTAAAAAAAAATTATTTTACTTATTTTAAGCACATGTTAATATCTTCGTGTTGATGAGTTGTGTGTAAAATAATACTTAATAAGATAATGATTTGAAGTAGTCATTTAGATGTTTTTAAAAAGCTGTCTAAGTATTCTTTTGTTCCGCTTTAAATAAGCAACAAAATGCAAGCAAGGAATTCAAACCTATATAGTTATAGTAATTGCCTGCGTCAAGAGTATGACAGAATATATTATTCTGCAATAAAGATGTGGGCTGGAGGTAAAGTTTAAGGCTTTATTTTTGGCGTTCATTCCACTGAGTCAGTTTATTTCTGATATAAATTATAGTTGTTTAAAAAACAACAGCAGTATCAGTAATCTGAGCCAGGGATCCTCAGCTTCAAAGGGTAGAAGGAAATAAAAATGACTTCATATAAGTTTCAATTTTCAGAATATCTGAGATAGAATGAAAATAGGAATCAGCTCAAATACTTAGATTTTGTTTTCTTTATATACATACATACATTTCAAACTTGTGAAATGTGTTTCTTTTTCTCTACAGGTAGAAGTAATTAAAAAGGCCTATCAGCAAGGTGAGGTTGAATTTGAAGATGGAGAGAATGGTGAAGATCTTGCTGCATCTCCTAGAAATGTGGGGCATAATATTTACATATTAGCCCATCAGGTAAATTTTTATTTATATCTGAAGAATTTAGCCCAAAGTTTAGAGCATTTGATTCACAGTAGTTGAATCATGCATTGCAGGAATTCATTTCAGGAGTGTCAATATGAGCCTTGTTGGATTATCAATAATGACACAAACAGTAAAAGTAGTTAGGCGAAATAAAATTACATTTTTAGGCTAATGTAAAGCATTGTTGCCAGTTGTTCATATTTGCATGAAGCCTGTTGTTGCCCACTTTAGTTATGTTTTTGTTGCAAATTAATTTGTCTTTCTTAAACTAAGTGCTTTGTCATATAGTTTTTCTCAGTATGTGCTGAAACATATTTGTTGATAAGCATTCTAAAAGTATAACATTTCACTGATTCCCCATCCTTAAGTCTGTCTCAAGTTGATACACCTCGTACAACAAACTTCTTCTTGTTGTTGTTAGTCATGAAGTCATGTCCGACCCATTGTTACCCCATGGACAATGTTCCTCCAGGCCTTCCCCTAGAGTCCATTTAAGCTCACACCGACTGCTTCAGTGACTCCATCCAGCCACCTCCTTCTCTGTCTTCCTCTTCTTCTTTTGCCCTCAATCTTTCCCAATGAGACTCTTCTCCAGTGAGTCCTTCCTTTTCATTAGGTGGCCAAAGTATTTGAGTTTCATCTTCAGGATCTGGCCTTCTAAAGAGCAGTCAGGGTTGGTCTCCTCAAGGACTGACCAGTTTGCAGCCTAAGAGACTTGCAGGAGTTTTCTCCAGCACCATAGTTCATTNGGCACAGTTGCCTTTTCTTTTGATAACTTGAATCCCTCTCCAAGCAGAGTTTAGATTTTTATTAATTAAGCAATAAAAATGACAGCATGAGAATAAGCTGGTCACAATAACAGTTGGTCACATTTAAAATATTTCCAGCATTTATCCCACTTGACTGCAGGGTCTGCATTATTATTATTTCTTGGCATTGCATTTGCTTTGGTTGACATAGCAGACCCTTACCATACTATACCATTTGTCTGAAATGTTGTAGGGTTTCCCGCAGTGGTGAAATTCAATTTTTTTTTTACTACCAGTTTTGTGGGTGTAGCTTGGTGGGCGTGGCATAACTTGGTGGGCATGGCAGGATATGGGTACTGCAAAATCTCCATTCCCATCCCATTCCAGGGGAATTATACTGCAAAATCTTCATTCCCACTCCACTCTGGGGCCAGACAGAGGTGGCATTTGCTGGTTCTCCAAACTACTCAAAGTTTCTGCTACTGGTTCTCCAGAACCTGTCAGAACCCACTGGATTTCACCCATGGTTTCCTGCCTAAGCAGGAGGTTGGACCAAAAGATCTCTGAGGTCCCTTCCAATTCTGTTATTCAATTCTAAAGCAGAGGCAGTTTTTCAGCTGCCTTTTCCAAGCCTGATGCCAATTAGGGCTGAGAGGAAGTAACTGACCTGAGATCATTTAGTTAGCTCCCATGTTCCAGGGAACTCTAGAACCTGGGTCTCCCTGGCGCTAGTCCAGCACCCTAACTGCGATCCATAATGTCTGTTGCTTTGTCATATGTAAAATATGCTCATTTAAATCAGTGACTGTCTGGAGTTTCATTAATCTGAGCAGTCTGCTCTAATTATGACGGAATCTGGATCCAATCCAATATGCTGAAAAGTAAAAGGAGGGGGAATTTCTGTTGATCCAAAGGAATTTTACTATATTTTCAGTGAACACAGAGACAAAATTAGGACTTGATAGTGTTTCGGTGGCAGTTTCTAGACCCCTGCCAGCAAGTCTGTTTTACAATAACTAAGCATCATGTACTAAAACTTTTAATGACTGTATTTATGTTTATTTAATCTATGGAGAATTGTCTTTTTGAGGCTATTTCTGGGTATTGCTAAGAAACGAGATGAATCAGGCTGGCTTGTTAAGCTTTATTATACTAATCTAGATACTTTTACTACAAAAAAGCAAAATGCTGAATGGCAAAGGTGTGAAGTTTTCTGGAAATGATGAAGGGGGCCACATCATTATGTGCTAATGGGATTTGTCATTGTGCATTATAGCATTAAGGGAACCCCTGACCCAAATAACAGAGGAAGTGAGAGATCAGTTGGTTGAGGCCTCCACCGCTACAAGGAAAGCATTTAACACCTACCGAAGAGAAGCCGATCCTGATGATCATTATTCGGCTGTAGAAGGAGCACAGTCGGTGGCAGATAAAAACAAAGATGAACTGGAGATGAGTGCTGTCATCACAATAATGCAGCCCATCTTACGTTTTTTGCAGTTGCTGTGTGAAAACCACAACCGGGATTTGCAGGTACACAAGCTGTGTTTGCCACCTATGAAAACACACTTGGGACCCAAAGGTAGTGGTACTGGTTCAGGAAAACCGGTTTCCCATCAGTTCAGGTGAACCGGTAGTGGTAATTTGGCCTGTTTTGCAGAACTGGCAATGACCCAGGCTGGCCATGCCCCTGAACTGGATCCCCGGTTTCTTCTGCCTTTTCTGAGCATGCACAGAACAATTTACGGTCAACTGTGCATGCGTAAGCTGGCACGTGTGCGAAACAAACTGGTATCAACCGGTACAGGAACCCACCCATGTCGTGATCCCCAGGTTGTCTGGCAACACCCTACTTGGCCTGATCTGAATTTTGAATGTTTTAATGAATGAGTTGAGAAGGTAGCACGTTGCCAAAACCAGCACCAGCCTCAAACCTCATCTTTATTTGGGTGGATGGATGAATGGACAGACTGAAATAGTCAAGGTATTGTAGAAGGTGAAGAAGGATGGAAAATATTCTCACCAGTTTAACTACTAGTAAACAAGCACTTTGGGACTAGCAAAACACTCCACAGCAACCATTGTAAAAACATCCACAGCATGCTCTCAAATTTCAAAAGTGCCTAGCAACCCAGAAAGTGGGGACCTCTGGGGTACCTAAGAACACGTCTAAGAATTCTGTCTTCTCAAAAGAGAGTTGGATTACTTAAACTGAGAACAAGGGATAATTTGTTAGTTTTTCCTTCAGCACAACAAAATTTGGTTTCCTGAAGCAAAACCAATGGTGCTTTTTCTTCTCTGTCACGATCAGGACTGTAAGAAGCCTTACTGCTCCATTCAGACCGTTATTCGTGCTTTTATTCATCCCCTCAATTTTCCCTCCCCCTGTCTCTCCCCGGCTGATGCCTTGCTGTGTGGAACCGCTGATTCTAACACATATGGTTACGTTATGAACCGGAAAGTCCAACTCACTGAACAGCAAAAGGATCATCGTACATAATCTGAAATTGGAGCTGTGTGATAATATTTTCTCCTTCTTGGTTCCCTTGTGGGAATGTGGAAGCTAATGGAGGCTGCAAAATAGGGCAGGAAGTGCAAACATCTGCAGCCTATAACTTGCCCACCTTGGAGATAAACGGTTGTGGGTGAGATTATTTGGATTTTTGCCAAATCATCTGAAAAGCAGTTTTATTTTCTTTGATTGTTCCTTGATCATTTATCCTAGGGTTTTTCCATACTGCAGCTTGAAGCTGCTTAACACTGGCTGTAAACTGGCTAGAAGTGAAACAGGTTCAAGAAATTCCCTTTACAGACTTCAGCTTCTTATTTATAGAATAGCTGTGGTCTAGTTTGTTTTCACTTTGTTTACTACAACCCCAAACTGTGAAATTTCCTGCTTCTTTATCCTTCCCATCCACCCTGGAAAAACAAACTCCAGTTATTTTCCTTTCTGTGGCTGGGTATTTGGGGAGAGTGGTTTCTATTGATAAGTCTTTTCAATGGGTCCATTGATTCCCACTCATATTTAACATCGTACAGTAGTAGAGCAGTAGGGAAAAAGAAATACCTTGATTATTACTACTTTCTCTATCAATTGGATTAGAGGAAGAAATGGGCAGAACAGCTGAATCCCTGACTACACCGGAGAACTCATAAGGATTCCAGTTATTCAATATTCCACCAGTGAACTTTTAAAAACAAAACGCCTTCCATTAATTAACTTTGCACCTAGTAGTTAAAGAAAAGCATTGCCATTTGCAAATTTTTACACATTTATGGAAATATTATCTGGCTGAACCCAATGTTATTTCCTTCAAACCAGTGGTGGGTTTCTAATTTTTTTTACTACCGATTCACTCGTGCATCCACACTTGCGCATGTGCAGAAGCGTCCAGGCAGGTGGGCGGAGCGTCTCACTGCTGCTGCTACTGATTTGTCCAATCCGGGCCAAACTGGGAGCAACCCACCTTTGCTTCAAGCTATCCTATATTTGGGTTTCATCTCCCCATCATCCATGGAAACAATGGAAAGCAAAAGGAAGCTTTCTCTTTTGGCTCTTTTGTTTCAGCTTGTTCCCTGAAAGAGAGCAGATAAAGAGAAGGTAGAAGAAGATCAAAGGTTCAGTGATTTGTCATGTACTCTTCCAGGAATACTGACAAAGATGCCACCAATGTGGCAAAGATGATTTAGCAAGCATCGGAGAAAAAAAAATGGGGAGGTTCTGATGCCTTGTCCCTCTCACCCCATCCATGTGATGAAAAATTCATATAAGGGACCGCTCAGATTTCTGTGCTTCTGCTGTTGATGTCTATTGTAAATATGTTTCTCAAAGATTTAGATTTAGATTTTATTAACATTTGTAGGCCGCCCTTTTCCCTGAGGGGACTCAGGGCGGCTCACATAA